GACAAAGTGCATTTTATGCATACGAAATTGAGTCTTGTAACTTACACGACAGTTGTTACACTTTGAACAATTTTTTTGAAATCTAAACTTTGTTGATATAAAAATCATCTTAGAACACGACACAACAAATTTGGTGCCTCAGAGTCACCAGCCGAGTGCAAAGGGTTCACACTGGAACTAAACGTCCTAAACGCGACTACATTGTACCTACATTGTTTTGTAACGCGATCACGAGATTGGATTTATTTCAACCTCCCGCGATTCTTATTATAATATATACTCGAATGAAGAAGTTTATATACAAATTTCTGACGAAAACATTTTTACAGTGTCAGAGATTGCAAAAGAAGCAAATCAGAAACCAGTCATTTTCACTGATTTGGTAGTTTTAATGTTAAGATCTCTTGAAAAAGCGGATAACGTTTTTAAAACCTGATTAAACGACTCGAATTGTTTTTAGATGATATAATCTTGTAGATCATGTCTAAATTGCTTTCTCTAATTTTGCTACTGTTTGGAATAGCAGAAGAAATAAATAATTTTCATTCTTCAACTTTTTTTATCCGAGCCTATAAATGAAATTGAAGAAATACTTTTCGTAGATTTCGATAACTTGTATGAATGGCGAAAATTTCATCGAAATCGGTTGAAAAAAATTATTACATTTTTCTCATCGCATGTTTCGTTCTACGTACGTTCTGCATCATGTCGGTACACGTTGACGCGCAAGCGAATAATGCCGGAACAGGGCTGCAGGATTTCCTCGTCTTCGATAGCTAGTATAAGTTTACCGAAGTTTCGTGTTATTAGTGTCGAGTTTCTTCCAGGTATTAGATTTCATCTAGTTTCCGAAGAATCTACTGTTCTCGCATCACGAATATTAGTCCCCCTTTAGTTCCAGGTCATTGATATCGTGTTTTCACGAACATTGTGATACTAACATCGTGTTTTTCACAGACTCGAGGCACTGGTATTTCGTTCGGCCGTGCACTTTAGCATCGTGTTTCTTCTACGCGGTGGCATTGCTGTTTCATTTTGTCAAGCTTCGGGTCTATGGAACGCTGTAGAATTTTCTCCAAATCTCAAGTACTAGGATAAGATGACCAAAAGAGTTGTAGTAAAAGTTTTAGGTAAAAGTGTGTGTGTATATTTATTGAACACACGGAAACACACGATCTAACGTACAGACTTGCTCGTAAGAGCTTAGAGACAACGAGTGTACTCGTAAGCTGCTCACGGACGACTAACTAAAAAACCGCGGAAGACACGCAAACTGTGGGTCGGAAAAACCTTGGTGATCATAAGTAACCAATCCGCTCTCACACCGCGTATAACGGACTTTCGAGTCAAAATTTGCTCGACTCGAGTCGACGCGCGTTTAGCGCTCACGTGCCCTGCAGATGGGCCACAAGGGCCGTCTTACCTGAAAAGCGGACAAGGCCGTAAAACATACGAAGTACCCATTTTCAATAGCATCGAAAATGCCAGACATTTACACAAGCTTTAACCCTTTGCACTCGAAGCCATTTTAACTGTAAATCTAAAATGATTTTTCTGGGCTACGCTGTCTCTATTTTACTACTGTGATCAAAAAGTAAGGTGAATTTGTTTATAAAATGTAAATTCTTTATTTATTCTTCCAAATCAATTTCATCCCCTTCAAAGTAATCCCCGTCCGATAAAACGCACTGTTTCCGACGCTTTTTCCAGTCCTCGAAACAGTCGGAATAGTCTTTTTCCGGTATAGCCTTCAAGACCTTCTTCGATTCGGTTTTTATCTCCTCAATCGTGTCAAAACGGCGTCCCCGCATTGGCTTTTTGAGTTTGCTGAATAACCAGAAGTCGCACGGAGCCAAATCAGGCGAATACGGTGGTTGCGGAACGATATGAGTCGAGTTTTTGGCAAAAAAGTCGCGAAGAACCAATGCAGTATGACATGGCACCAATCGAGACTTGACGCGTTTGAGACACAAAACATCCTTCAAAATGGTTTGGACTGAGCCAAATGATATTCCAACACTATCAGCGAGGTCTCTCATTGTCAGTCGACGATTTTCAAGCACCAAATCTTCGATTTTTTTGGACGTGGCCCTCGTCGGTAGACGTTGATGGTCGTCCAGAGCGCGGTTCGTCTTCAACGCGTTCTCGGCCCGCTTTGAACTCGTTGTACCACTTATAAACGTTTTTTTGTGCCATAGTTTGATCACCAAAGGCCTTCCGCAACATTTTCAACGTGTCCGCACAAGAATATTCGTTCCGCAAACAAAATTTGATGCAAGTTCTTTGCTCAACAAAATCACCCATTGTAAAAATCGAAAAATTCACTTTTGGTCGTTTACTAAAACACGTGTAACTCGGAGATAATTAAACCTTTTAACAAACAGACGCTTGGCAATTGTTATAGACAGTCCTACCAACCTAGGAAAAAAACAATTGCCTGCCTTCCTAATGTCCGGGAGTTTTAAATGACAATTTCACCTTACTTTTTGATCACAGTAGTATATGACAGAGCGCATTTTATGCATGTGAAATTGAGTCTTGTGACTTATACAACAGTTATACTTTTAACAATTTTTCAAATCTAAATTTCCTTGACGTAAGAATTATTTTCGAATGTGATATAAACATTTTTTAATGGTGCCTCGGAGTCACCACTCGAGCGCAAAGGGTTAAAACGTAGCATGGCGTGGTTCCTTGACTTCAAACGTTGCCGGAAAAGTTTTTCAAGATTTTTTCAAATTTTATTTAGATTAGAGACACCAGCATCAGATTCAGAGACTCTGAAGCCACCGACCGAAAGACACCAGTACCTCGTGAGCCTTCAAACTCTGACACTGATCTTTGTTAGAGTTCGTCCAACGCAAGGCTCTCTCATCACGCATCATATCTTTCACATTTCTTATTTTTCTCATAATTTTTCAACAAAGCATTTATGGACATTTTGTTACTGTTGGGGCATTTTGATCTCTCGCGTTATTAAACCAACGACTAATACTTAGCGCGTCGGTAGCAGTTCTAAAGTAAACCTTTTCGTTCGTCACGCTTCACTTCCTTGTTCCTGTACACCGGCGTTACATTGTGCACCTGTATTTTGTATGAAAGAAACATATTCCATTGATTAAATCATAACCAGTTCATAATTATAACAGTTACATAACATTTCAGTCTTATTTTTATTTGTAAAACATACTGCCTGGAAAACGCGAGACACCGCGTATATTCTTTTTTGCGCTAAAGGCCCCTCGGGACTCGTTCATAAATAAACAACTAAATTGTCCAACATTTCCTCCATTATCTCAGTTCTCGACGTTTTCTTAATTTTCGATCACGAGCAAACCTCCACGAAACGTCGCACGAATTGAAACGCCGGCACAGGTGTCCCAGAAAGTCCCGCGTCGCCGGCGTCTGGTAGGTGTAATTGACTTTAAGTGGGTTACCCGTTACCTCGTTTACGCAGCCATGTAAACAGACCAAACGCGGGCTCGCGTGACACCTTGTTCCATCGCGAGCGACGTATTTGCTCGACGTATCAGGATCGTTTAAGTTTATTTTCGCTAATTAATCTCGAGATTAATCCGCGTTTACCGGTGTGCGGCGGACAATCCAATTTAAATCGCGAGAGCGCGCGCTCGCTTGCGGGGGCGGCGAAGGGGGAGCTCACGGGTAACGCTCGTAAATTGCATAGAACGCGCGCCGCGCCGGAATGGAAATTACGTTGACGAGATTCCTCGGTCCCGCGGAAGATGCTGCCGCTTTTACGTACGGGGAATTTCACCGTGATTCGCTTGTAAACGGGAACGTTGTTCCTTGTAACGAAATCAAGCCATCGGCGCGGCGCGGCGCGGCGGGGTTGCAGCGGGCGGCGCTCGCGCTCCTCTCAAAAAGACTCGTTCCCGGTCTCGTTAAGATCGCTTTAAATTTAGATAAACAGAACCGTTCACCGTGCTGGAATTTCCTTCTCGAAAACCCCTGTCGTCCCTCTTCCACTTCCTCTTTCCGTCTCCCTTCGAATTCCTCTCCCCGTTTCTCTTACTCTTCGCTCGTATCGAATGAGTCGTCCACGGAATATTTCGATGATAACGCGACGGGGACGATCGAAGTCGCGATTGGACGAATCGACGGAAACTTTTGCGAGGTTATTGCGATGGGGAGACTTCACTCCGTAAGCTGAATCGCGAGGAAAAATTCTGCGAACTCTGTGCGCAGTCGTTCGAATTTGTAGGATCTCGGAAGAAAAGAATTCTTTTCGCTAGACCATGGAGTTCATACGTTTGTAGCGAAAATACAGGGAGTCCCGAAAATGTCTCGTAATCTGAAAGTGGCGGCTTCCTCGGGTCATTTGAAGCAACTTCTTCCTTTACAAAAATTTTCTCCGAGGCACCATTAACGAGTTATTAACGAAAAACAGCGACCGAGCCAACGGCGCCAACGGTCGAGGCGGTCGAATTCCAGCTCAGCTGGCGCGAGGCGGCCGAGCCGACGGCGCCAGCGGTCGAATTCCAGCTCAACTGGCGCGAGGCGGCCGAGCCGACGGCGCCAGCGGGCGAGGCGGTCGAGCCAATGAGCGGAACTGGGCTTCGTGCGCTGGTTGGCTGGGCCACCTCGCGTCAGCCATACTCGATTCTTATTGGTCACTGTTTTTCGTTAATAACTCGTTAACGGTGCCTCGGAGGACATTTTTGTAAAGGAAGTAGTTGCTTCAAATGACCCGAGGAACCCGCCATTTCCGGATTGCGAGACATTTTTGGGACACCCTGTAGACAAACGATGCTCGAGATAGTGAACATTCGTAGGAAACGATTTAACACCTGGACGGCGAAACTAGACTCCATTTGGACATAAATACTGTTATTTCTTATTTGGACCGTTTGCTCCAGGATATAAATATTGTTATTTGACTATGTATCTAGTTTCTGATATTCGTTCCAGGTTTATATGTATGTATACGTTGGAAGGCAACGATGTTGTATAGTCGTGGCGAGTGCGAGTCGCGTGGAACGTTTGTTTTGGTTCGCACGTTCGGCTGATGCCGTGTTCGCCTCGAACGACTGCGACCTTGTTAAGTCAGTAACCAGCAACAGCGACGGTTTATCAGTTTCATCCGATTCGCAGAGCGGCATGCATTACTTTTCGTTTCGTTTCACAGACTTTTACATATTGTTCATTACTTTTGTTACTTTATATTATATTGTATCATATTATATTACTATTTCGCTGAATACGCAAGTACACGCTGTGCTGTAATTGTTCAGTTGAAACTGCAAGAACATGGAATCTGTCGAGTCTGGAAGAAGTACGTTTTAAAAGATATGTTAAACAAATTACTAAATAAAATTATAAACGATCCTAGTCGTACCAAGTTATATTTTTGTCGAACAAAACGTATTCATTGACACGCTCGAAACACTTTTAACGACATTTTCCCTAGTTGTGTTAATCAATGGGTTATTTCCGTAAAAGAGAGAGAGAGAGAGAATAAATATAAATAAACAAATAATTGAACGAAATAACTTTCTAAAACGATTCCAGTGAAATTGTCAGAAAAGACGCGCGCAATTAAGATAAATACAGGTGGAATGTTATACGATTTTTTTTTAAACTGGAAGTTAGAGAAGTTCGATGATCGAGAAATTTTCGTTCACGTAATCACGAGTTCCGTCAATTTTGTGGTGTAGTGCGCGAAGAAACGAATGAAAGTGTAATCGTTTCAAAACGGTGTCTTTTTTTACACTCGTCGGAGCGGCTATACATAGAACCCCCAAGATACCCATTCGATCAGGTGTCGTTCCAGTTAATGGAGCCCGACTAGAATTCGTGCCGTTCGTATGTACAGAGGCGGCGCTTCTCAATTAGCGTTATTAATTATTGAATCGGCGGTATCGTTTAATCTCTCGGAATACGAGGGAGAAGCGAGGCGAATGCGGGTCCCCCATTTCCCGTGTAAATTTATAGGAGGATATTACTAGAGCATTGTAAATTAATAGCGGTGACAAAACTATTTGTACGTGTGATTAATGCGACGATTCGTAATGCGCGGATAACAACGATCCTGAAACGGGGTGCACGGGGAAATCGATTCCGCAGGCTATTTAAAATCATTTCTATGGGAACGACGCGCTCCCGGAACGGAATTATTCAATACAGGGCTCGGATTTCGCGTCACATCGTTCCGCCAAAGATCTTTGCTCTGCCTCTTCGTAGCGCAATACAGAATTCATTCGCGGTGATAGATAATACACAAAAGGTTGAATTCTTTAAAAGTCGTTCGAGTCACCGCGTATCGTTCAAATAGGATCAAAGTGTAGCTAAATTCACTCGAAATTGCTATTACGTATCAACTCTTTTCCAATATTCTTCCACCCAACTCTTTAAGATCAACGCCGGTTCTCTTATCTGAAAAAATTAATCGGCTCTCTAAAGTCAATTACTCCGTACAACAGTGAAATGTTACCTCGTAACAGCGACTTCGCAAAGTAAGGAACGGTAGAAAAATAACCCGAAGAATTCGTACCACTGTTTGCTACGATGCAATCACGCTGCCAAACGTCGAGCTCTTAATTAATTTCAGATATTAACCGCTATTGTTTGAAAGGTTCGAGGATAGAAGGAGAAGACCAAAACTGAGTAGATAATTTCGCGATATTCTTTTGCAGACGCCAGAGGAGAGGCGAGCGAGGAGAAGGCGCCATTGCGATCCGCATTGGCCAGAACCGGAAACAAAACGACCCGGGCACCGAAGAAGAGCGTGACTTTTTACATCAACGGTCGGCACCTCACGGCTCGATACGACTTTCGTATACGGTCCGGCGAAAAGTCGCGGGCGGCAAACAAAAGCGCGCGCCGCTGCCAGCACAAAAGATTAAGTGGAGAGAGAGAAAGAGAGAGGCTCGAGAGACGCGTATGTAATCGCGCTGCCTCAGCGCCGGCGAGATAAAGGAAAAGGAATTAAGAGAAACACGCGGGGGCCATTTTCGCTAGCGAGCGCGGCCGAGGGAAAATGCTTTTGTTTGATCTTAATTGCGTGACTAGTCGCGTTACACCTTCTCCGTCTTATCTCCGCCTTCTTCTCGCTATCCGCGCCAGGTTCTTGTCTCCGCGCTGTTTAAAAATCGCGAATTTCCGCTCGCTAATTTGTTTTCTGCAGGCTGCCTCATCTAAAAGATCATCTCGTTATCTTCTCTGATTTTAATTGCGAGATAAGCGCCTTTCTAGGTAGCAATTTATTCAATGATTTTCCAGAAAGTTTCGCATTGTTATCAACAGACTACGGGCCTTTGTGCAAAATACAAATTCTCCGCGTCTGTTGCAAAAAGTACCAGTAATTAAAAGTTGCATCCTTTTTCATTCGACGTCGCAAATGCTCATTTCTCGCATAAATGCAAAACGAAACTCCGCGGTCTGGTTACCGAAAATAGCGACGAGAAAATTGCCTGACATTTGAGCCGTTCATTTTGAAAGTGGCATAAGTCACTTTGTTTTTAAGTCGATATACTTAAGAGTTTGCGTTTTAACACGTTTAGAGACGTTTCAATCGATAACATTTGCGAAGAAAAAACGTGTCTTCGGTTTCCCGCTCGCTCCATCATGCGAAATAGAAGCTTCGAGCTCTTTCATGCGAATCCGGGTTCGCTGTTCGATCGTTCGTTTCGACGGAACTATGACAATTTAAATATCAACGATTTTGGGACATAGGAGGGAGGAGCTGAAGATCCGAACAAAGTGGAAAGTCTGTAAAATATCGCGAACGAATTTCGTGGACGACTTTCGACGACGATAAAATTTCGTTCAATTTTCCGGATCCCTCGAAAGCGGACGCGGTATAATTCCCACAAACGCGTCAAACTAGAAAATCGGTAGAACTCGGCAGGCACCGACGGATCACCGGTCGAATGATCGAGGCGAAGGGGGATCGTTAGGTTGATGGAGACCGAGAGTGATCGGGTTTTAGGATCTTGTTAAAACGCGACACGTTCGGCTTGGGTTTCTCGTGAACGGGAGAAACTAGGTGACGAAAGAGGATGGCCGACGGGAATTAAGAGGGTGCTCTGGTCGCGTTTTCATGCGCGAAGCGAACGAAACGGGCGCGAGGAGGGCCCGGGCTCGCAGCGAGCTGTAAAAGAAGATAGGAGGAAAAGGGGAGAGGGCCTTTGTTAAGCGAAAATTGAATGGGTAGTCGCAGAAGCCCCGGCCCCTCTCCGGCCGTTTTGTGTAACCAGCAGCAGGGGCTGATGCTACTTTAAGCGACGACGATCCTACTTACGAAGATCGGTTCGATAGCGTACGTTCGGGTGCAATTTGTATAAAAATTTTGATTGGATCAACGCGATTCCAACGGGACACCGGGACACCCCTCTGTTGATAATATATTTTTACAATGAGAAGTCACGTTTCTCCCGGCCGATTCCTCGCGAGATATCGGACTGCCATAAACTCCTACCGTATGCGTGTACGTATGTGTGTACGTATGTGTTTGGACAGACGCGACTCGTGAAGTAGGATCGATGTGTCCCCGCGTGTATGTGTTTAAACATATCGTTCAATTACATGGACGCTTCGGGAGCCAATCGGTGGAAGTCCACTTTCCTTTGAAAATTAATTACGCAAACTTTATTGTAGGATCTTTCGGTCGATAAATCAATATAATGTGGTCGATTTCTTCGTAAATACATAATGTACAGCAACACAACACTTGTATCGATCACCGAATGACTAAGCAAAATGACTGCTTTTGCTTAGTCATTCAGTGATCGATACTCCTTCTGCTCAGAAGGAACTGTTTTCTCTAAACAAAACATTGGTATTTTTCTTGTTTCTCTTTTGGTTATCTTCATTTGTACGTCACGTTATGCTTTGCATTATCAGTATCAATTTTATTCCTTTTTTAACAAAGCTAATTTACAAAAACCACATTTATCTCAATTTTCATATTACTGTATTTACACCGATTGCCTTCTGAGCGATTCGTACGTATCGAGCGTGAATGTAATATATGTATAAAAATACACGAGATTGCAGCAGAAAACGAATATACATACAATGATATTTCTATTTAAGAAAATATTTATAGACAATGGACTAGCCATGAATTTAGTAGCATAAAAGTATGTAAAGACTTTTAAGTCTGATTTATAATGGATACGATTGTAAATAAAATGTATAAGAACACGTTCGAAGACGATTTATTCATAATTTGAAGCAAGTTCATTTCAGAAGAATTGCATTTAGCATCGATATCGATTTCACGGGGTAGACGTTGAACAATCGCAGCGTTATCGAGAATCTCGGTTCTTTTAGCATTGTCATCGCTGGTTCGTTAAAAGCAGCAGTCCACAAAGAGATACGATTGCTCGTGTCGGTTGATAATCGTGGGTCGTAAATTCTTTTCTCGTGCGCGTCCCCTCCGGCTTCGGTTTACGTTTCGGATTAATATTAATGTCGCGGGCACCCCGCCGGGCACAGATAGATTCAGATATGTAAGTCGCAACAAGAAAATTCCGCGCCCCGTCTGCGGCGCTGAATTAATAAATCATTATTCTACGCGACAGTTGCCTCTGTCAGCGCGGTTTGATACGGATAAACACGGGTGTTTGCTGATTTCGATGCACGCATCCACGTTAATACGTTCAATAGACTGCGAGCAAATATTTAGCGATGTGTATCCGAACGAGGCGAGGCACGGCTGAGTGAAAAAGCGACGCTTTCAGATGTCGGGATAATATCCGCGCGATTAAATAGTTCCGCGGTATGAAAAGAACCGAAACATTGCGGGGAAAAATGCACCGGTACCGACGTATCGTCGGACGAATCGCGTGAAATTAACGCGCCCCGCGCGCAACTCGCATAAATATTACTTAATTCGTTCGTGCCGCGGCCATTTAATCAGTTTATCAATGACAATTATTAATTATTCGAAAGCGCGGTTTTCACATCACGCTGTTATCCAGCTCATTATAACGCTGAAACAGCTTCCATTCGATGGGGTGCTGCGCTCCTCCCGAGCAATTCTATATTTTAATAAGCGAAATAAAATGTTTGTCTATATATATATCCTCTCGAACCGCAACACGGTAAAATGAATACATAAGCTTCAATCAGCCTAAGCAAATTGATTGCCGAAATAATGGTTCGCTTGTTAAAAAGTTCTACATCTTTTGTTATACATATATATTGTCTATTAGAAAACCGCCAGTGAGCAATATGATTTATTGTACAAATCAGTAATAGCTTGTTCCAGTGTTATAAGTAAATAATTTCATTACACGAGCATCAACCAAGGTTATTTATGAATAAATATAAATAAATAAATGAATAAAAATATTCTACTTCGATTACCTTCAACTGTAGTCAAATTAATTTCATAATTTTCATTTCTCAATTTCATTTAATTAATAATATATAATTCTATTCTAGATTTTATTCTACTAATATAATATCAAATATTATATTAAAATTCTGTTATTTATAATTCTTTGTCGTATTATTGTGATTGTCATTGAAATAAGTGAAAGTGACAGTGACAGTACATATTCCGGACAACCTCGACAATTGGTACTCTTATCCTGGATGTCGCATAAAGACGCGTGTTCATCTGAGAGCCTCTCAGGCGAATTGCACATTTCAGAGTAACTTCGAGTCATTTTTCCTCCTTACAAAATTTGTGTATCTAATCAACTGTGTAACGTACGGAGAATCTTCCTACGAATTTTTATATTCTTTTCCGAAGGCATACGCCAGGCTGGCGCAAGCCAGTCGGGGGTACATTTGTATATCGCGAGTCAAGTACCTCCAAGGGGGTACGACGACGAACGTTTCTGGAATCGGACCACATAGGAACACCCCCACTACCATTTTTCCAGAGAAAATCTGGCTATATAAAGGGCCCAAACGCGACCAGAAAACGGGCTAGTTTCGAGTCATTCGTCGACGTGGAAACGCTAGTGAGATCGAGTCCTAATTCTCCTTCGAACAATCTAATAGGTAATTAGATATCAAATCAGAAGCCCCCGCCGACTCAGTGCGAAAAGCTGAGAGCGCGTTAAAGTCCGCGAACACTTACATACATTTGTAAAACCCAAAACGCGTAATAAATTAGCTTTTACCAGTTTTCTTTGGTTACAAGTT